CAATTAACTATAGGTGGGGTTAATTAAGTTCTTTGAGGATGTTCATCCACATGATTGAATATAAGATTGATCTAAAAGTGGTATTTAAAAATGTTGTTTGATAGAGAATGAATATTATTATTATTATTATTATTATTATTATTATTATTATTATTATTATTATTATTATTATTATTATTATTATTATTATTATTATTATTATTATTATTCCTTTTATGATTAGTAGTTAATTGGTAAGAGAATAATTACTTGCTTAGTGAACAAGTAAATAATTATCTAGTTTGTTGGGCAAGTTTATGAGACTAAGATTAAGATTATTATATATTGTTCAACCCGGTGACTTTGATGGATGGTTAATTAATGAATAAAAAATAATATTGTTCTTGGTATTTTGAAACTGTTCTCAATTTATCGTCTCACTCGTACGCTTTCCCTACATCACTGTTTTACTTAATTTATTAATTATACGTAAAATTTATTTATACAATTCTCTCCAAATCAAATTAGATTTGTGTATAGATATTTTATTTATGAGGCAAATTAAAATGAATATATATGAAAATGTAATGCAAATTTGAAGCAAGTATCATAAAAGAAATATATCTTAAAAATCAAGAAACAAAAAACCAGAGCTCCACAATTAATTTTATAGGCACTCCGAGTAAATGGATCTTTTAAACTTAGCGGCTATGATCGATCGAGCACTATCACAAATGATAGGCGTCACGCCACGTGTACAGACAAATGATGTAAGCATGAAGTGTGATGATTTCTCAAATACTTGTCATGGTTCGAATTCTCCAAAAAAAATTAAAATTATATATTAGTACAAAATAATAATAATAATAATAATAATAATAATAATAATAATAATAATAATAATAATAATAATAATAATAATAAGGATCATGATTTGAGCTTTTTAATGGACAAGACACATATAGCGCCCTTTTGGCCCTCTTCATTTTGCAAGACGCTTTTGTGCAAACTACTACAATAATACTACCTCATAAAGCAAAGATTCTCTTTTACTAATCCTATTTATAAAGCAAAACATATTTTCCTACACAATAGAGTAAATTTTACCCTACCTCCATGGCTATATGATGCAACGATTCATATCTCGTGGTGACTCATGTGCCCACATGAGTAGCATCAAATTTGTCACACAATGTTATATGAGATACCATACTGAGTAGAATAAGCCAGATTAACCAGCCAACTGAACAGGGTAAACCGGTTGATCGAACATTGCTACAGACAGGTCTAACAGAGGTCAAACAGAGCTACAACAAATAGTCATCAAGTCGATGTGGACGTTGCAAGTTGAGGAAAGCACCGATTGGTCGAGTTAGGGGCCTTGAATGGACTGGTTAAAACTAGACCTGAAGTTATGACTGGTTGATGCATCGGCCATAAAAGCAGAGCATACGAGCTTAGTACAGACAACACTCCACCTCGAGTGAATCGGGTTGGTCACGCGATTAGACTGTCTAATAAAGCATACTAATGGATAAGAAGAATATTAATATTAAGATAAGAACCACACATGGAGAGGGCTAAAAATTGGGCAATACAGACTGATAGACTAGTATGGACAGCCAATTCGGGCAGTCTTGGTTAACAAGGTAACACACCCCTATATATAGGGTGTAGTCTGCAACATTACATTCTCTACATACTTACAGAGCTTTACATACAATGTTCTTCGTCTTCTTCATCTGGCTTGATCGTCGGAGTGTTGACGCCGGGAACTCATCGCAACCCATTTTGCAGGTCTATATGAACATGCTAAAGGGCAGATTAATTAGGTCATGCAAACCAATCTCAGGTCGTTTGCACACTACAATGGATACGATATATTTACTTTTAAATCTGGCAAAACTTAAAAAGAAATGTAATCGAGACAGGTCGGGTCGTAGGAACTATGTTCAATATCACTTTAAATCACAAGTCGATGAAGCTCCAAAAGAATCCAGTGCGGCCGAAGTTGACCATTGGGGCCAGGGGCGGAGGCACCCATGGGCTAGGGTGGGCTCCAGCCCCATATAAAAAAAAAAAAAAAAATTAGTTTACAACTTAGATTATTTTTGTCACAGCCCCATATAATTTTATAAATAGCCCACCCTATTCATTTGACCTAGCCCAACAAAAAAGCCCAACAAATTAAGAAAATAAAACTCATATTTTGGCCCCAACACATGTTGTATTGTCCAACATAAAAGTGTTGATTTTTTTCTTTGGTTTATAATGTAAATTAGAAATCTAGACCTCTGCTTATTAATCTTCTTTTCGTGCATGA